CCCAGCGAGGACGCGTCTTAATTAAGAGCGATGCAGAAGCGAGGGGGAGGAGGAGGGCACGCGTGGCCGAGGGGCCGCACGGGGGATAGGGGGCGGCGTGCGCTCGGGATCGGGGGGGGGGGGGGGCAGGTGGCGGTGGGGCAGCTGGCCCGGGGGTCGTGGCGGGGAGGTCTCGCACGAGGGACCCCACTCGGCTCCCGTGGAGCCATCTGCCGGGCTGCCGTCTTGGCTCCGGCGATCTCGGCTCGCGCTCGGGGCGGCGTGGCGCTCGCGATGGCCCGGGGGGGTGGGCAGGGGGTGGCCGCCGTTGCCGCTCCCCCGCCGAAAACGCGGCGCGACTCCGCGGTCGACGAGCGTGATGGCGAGGCGCCGGTGGTTGCGGCCTTCGCGACGGTGCCGGTGTCGGTGGTGAAGGATTATATTTGGGCAAATCGGCATCTGCACGTAAAAATAAAACAAAACAATAAGAGGCAACGCACGTTGCTCCATTGTGTTAGCGGTCCCTTGCCGACTCAAGATGCGACTTGGTGCTTGAGTGGACCGGAGTGGACTTTTCATTATTTTTCTGCTCTGTGGATGTGTAGAATGTTCTAGGATGTTCTACACATCCACAGAGCGCAGACACGTGTGTGGCTGCTGTTACTGCCGCTGCTGAAAGTTCATTTCATTTCAATGTCAGCTCAAATAATAGCAGCGGGCCAGCCCTACGTGATGCGGGAGGTGCACTCGGCGATTTGACAGGGCCCCGATTTTTGAGTACTCCTTTTGCCGAATCTTTTTTTATCTTCGTAGGATCGGAGTGTAATTCACCGGTTGTTCTCGTGCGTATGTATGTTGAACTTCTTTCGCACCGTACGTGGACCACTGTGTTAATCGGCGGTGCTGAGCATTGGGCAACTCCTCCGGCTGACTCTGTAAAACAGGATGAGCAGTGTAGGTGCTGCGGATGCTGCTGCGCCTTTGATCCAATTGCCTGATTTCCCCTCGGTGTCCAGACCGCTCACAGAGGCGGGTGACTTACTTTTGACCGGCCTTGATGGCTCAATTCACCTCCCTGGGCGAATTAATGACGAGTCTACAGCAGTGGTTCTTAACCTTTACTGCAGCCTTGCACCCCTTTGATTCTCAATCGTTAAAAATTAAACAAGTAGCTGTACTTACGTGCCCGTGCTTAATTTGTGTTTAGATGATATTTACTTTCTAAAAATATACGGCCACGTCTCGCTCCCCCAAAAAGGGCATCTCTCACCCCCAGGTGGTAGAGCGTGCACCCCCAGCTGGTGCAGAGTGCACCCCCAGGTTAAGAAGCACCGGTCTACAGGAAGCATTACAAATTGAGTGCCTGCGGTGGGCAGCTGCCGCTACCACCTCTACCGCCGCCGCTGCGAGAGGCGGCAGAGATCCTAACACGGCCACAATGCTCCCGAGCGTCTCGCACGAGGGGCGCTCGACGCTCAGCCCTCGGCACCGTCTCACCGCCCCCCTCTCGTTACCGTGCCTCCATTATCATCTCACTTGGGTCATGATGCGTTGCCCGCTTCTGCCCGATGGGTGGGTGGCGTGGTAACGCGGTGCTCTCGGGAGGCACGGGATGCTGCAGGCGTAGGGGGGCCTCGTGCGTTAGAGGAACGAGACCCAGAATGCACAGCGGCCAGCGTGGCGATGTGCGGCCTAAACCCGGTAACGTTCTGCGGTCGCGCTCGGCGCACACAAAGTGCGTGCCACAAATGAGCCGAAATGCCTCGCTGGTCTTGTCCAGGAGCGTAAACCATCTCGCAAACTCCGGTGGTCATCCTCGCAGCAGCAGCAGCAGCGGCTTTCGGCTGCTCGCCATCAAACACAGACGGTCACCGCATCGCACGCTGTCATATGCGCTTTTGCGGTCGTCTGGAACGCTCTTCTTTCAATCGAGGTTGAAAACTCAAGAAGAGCTGCTTCTTGTACTTAGTTTGCACCCCTCCCCCGCACCTCGGATTAGCACGGTTGGCTACGTACGGTGCGAAAGAAGTTCAACACGTAACGTGGAGCTGTTAGAGCGGTCCGATGCGGTACACGAGCGGTGACCGCTGGCAAGAGGCGCGGTGTACGAGACGCCCCCCACCCCCCACCCTGGGCGGAGTGCCACGTCTGCCAGGGCCGCGAGAGAGAAGCCGGGAGCCTGAGAGGCCCGTTACTTCTCCTTTCGCTTGCGCCGGGGGCCACCGCGATTATTTCCTCCCCGCCTCGCAAACGCCTCGGGGACACCTCTTCCCGATTATGAGTCCCGGTGATTCATCGAGGCTCTCTGAACGTGTCGCGTTATGACTGCAGTGATATTACCCACGTGCACACGGCTTTTTTGTTGGTCGCCATGGCCACGGCTTGTTGTCAGGCGTTTTTGAAGTAAACACTGCGGTGTTTGTTCACAGCGGCGCGATGGCTGTAATTGTGCCGCTCGTGGTTTACGAAGGCGAACCGAAACACCGTAGCCCCACCCACGCTCCCAAAAAAAACCCGCTTGTTTGTGTCTTTATGTGGTTTCAACAATACACCTCTTGCATGTAACGCAAAGCAGCTGCTGCCCCGGCTGCCTGCCATTTAGCATAAAGAGCGCCCTGTGTGCAAGTTCAGAGCAATCAGGCTGCTATCCACAAGGGTGCCGTGCATAAGGGGGGTGGGGGGGGTTGGCGGGGGGTGGGAGGGGTGGCGTCCGGCTCAGCTGGGAAGAGCTCGGTTCAATTTAAAGGGGCATAAAACCCATAATAGCGCAGCCTCCTCACAGGCTCGCCTGACCGCCCTCCCCCCCTCACACTCACCATCCCATCTGTCAGCCCAGAGCCGCATCAACCCCGTGCCCCCTTTAATTGGCGAATGTGTGAACTCCGTGCAGTGTTGCCACCTTCGTGCGCAAAAAGTGTGGCGAGTGACGTGCGGGTCCCCCCGTCGCCCGCGGTGACGGGGTCTGCCCGTTGCTCGCGGTGACGGGTCCTCCCGTCGCTCGCGGTAACGGGTCCGCGGTGACGGGTCCTCCCGTCGCTCGCGGTAACGGGTCCTCCCGTCGCTCGCGGTAACGGATCTGCTCCGTTTCCTAATTTGGGAGTCGTTTTAACCCCGCGCGGCACCGTTGAGCTCGTTGTTATGGGGATGTTGCCGGGGGGTACAGGAACATCGCGCGGCGCTCGCGGAAATTCTCGGAGCAGCCCCATGCATCTCTGCCGTGCATGGTTGACGTGATCCGGCGTGATCCGGCGAGAGCCAGCGGGAGCCAGCGAGAGCCAGCGGGAGCCAGCGGGCCTCCGCTAGGCCGTCCGGTGCCCATCGGGGCCCGATCTTCTTGCCCGAATCACGACGCCGGAATCGAGATCGGAATTGGGCCAGTTCCGCGTACGAGGCGTCGAGCATGTATTTCGGGAGCCACTCCAATCGATACTGGCCAGCTGGTACCCAGATTGATTCCAGTTAAGTAATTTGGCCGATATTAACCGTTTTACATATCCATCGGCCAGACGTTACAATGGCAGTACTGGTCCTCACAGGCCCCAGGGACCCTCCCTGAATACCATGGTGGGCTCCACGCAGGCCGCCCCCCCCCACCCCCCCCATGATTCCATGTTTATACCGTGCCCAGGATCCAAATTCTGAATGGGTTCGGAATTACGTAGCTCATCGGATTTCTGCAGGATAAATAAAAATTCTGATTCTGATTCTAGTCTCCCGTAGCCCCGAGGCACCTCCAGCAAAGCAAGCGCTGTGTTTGTGGCGCCATTCGAAATCTGGCACCGGTTTCACTTCAGCTCGAAATGCACTTAATCTTGCAGCGTGAAAGCAATGCCGCTTTATAAATGCAACGATGTGCAGCTATATTTCCTTTGTGCGTCGGTGCGCGCACGCTGCCGCGGTTTGTGTTTGTGACAAGAACTATGAGCCTTAAGGGGGATAGAGTCGGCAAAAACAATCACGGGAGGAATGCGTAATTGCAGGGTGGGATTGACGGGGAGCTGACGGTGCCCGCGTGAGTGCGGTGATGCGGTAGCGAGCAGCAGGCACGGGCGCGCCTCACAGGTGTGCCCACAGCCAGCGAGCCATGCCGCTGGAAGCGTGAGAGCGGGTGAGCGAGCGGGTGAGGTTCGGTGGGTGGTTGAATGGGAGAGCGAGTGAGTGGGACATTCGGTGAGCCGGTGAGTGAGTAAGTGAGCGATTGGGCGAGGGTGCGTGGGTTGAAGTGGCGTGGAGGCAGCACTGAGCGCCTCCCTTGCTTGTCACGCCGTGATACCGCACGGACGGGCGCTCGGCCGTGCCCGCACAGCTTGGGTTACATGCGGGATTACCGCGTTAGTCCCAGCGTTTCCACAATCGCCGCGGTCTCTGGGATGGCGCGCGCTGTGCGCTGACCGCCGCTGCACTCGAATCCAGCGCCGCGTCGCGAGCGTCAGAAGTATCAAGTTGCCGCGGGTCTTCATAAGCGCGTGAAGAGAAACGAATGGCAGTCTGTAAAACGGTCACTCCGCCAAACGCCTGCCGACATTTACCCTGCTTGTAAACGAGCGGTACACACACGTGGCGTCGCTGCCGTTCTGCGGAGAGATTCCGTCTGACTTGTCGCCGTGTCGATCTTATCACGCCCCGGCAGCGTAACGCTTCCACAGTTGTTACTGGCGGAGCGAAGAGAGAGCCGCTCTCTCCACTACTTATTAACAACGCACCTTTAAGTGATGGTTCAAAAACACGTGGCATCTGCGTCTTAATTTCTCCCTTCGCTGGAATGAACCGTTTATGAAAGAATATCAAACAACACAACTGTGTCGACGCGACGACAACGATGCACAAATGCACGAGAGGTGGATTCGGTTTTGTCTTCGAGCGAGTTTCCGTCGCCCGCCGACGCCTCGGTCGCATGAGAGACTTTGCTATCGCCGCCATTCAACGGCAACAGCAGCAGCTCCTCTGCTGCTCCACCTTGTGACCATGGTGCTCCCCCCCCCCTCTCACCCCACCCCTTCCCCCGCCATCGCGTTGTTCAGCTGGAGCTCGGACCGGTGGCGGTTCCGGAGGGGCGTCCCCGGCGCCGTCGGCCCCGCGCGACCTCGTGGCGGCCGTGGTGTCGACGCGCTTCGTGCGCCTCGTGTGGCGCGCGCCGGCCGAGCCGCGTGGCGACGTCACGGCCTACGCCGTCTTCCACTCGCGCGACGGCGCCAGCAGGTGCGCGACGTTTTGTGGAGCGTACGATCGCGCGCATTCGCAATTACACGCTCGCGCAGAACCGGCGATGTGGCACGGATCTCGACGAGCCCAGGGGTTTGCGTTCTGAGAGCCCGCGTGGCTTTGCCGACTACCGCATGATGATTCACGCACTCCTCCTGCGAGCTCTCCCCTTGTTTGTCCTGCTGCTGTCACGCATCGCACCCTGTTTGAGTCCTTGTTCTCCTCTGTGCGTGTGAGCGCTGAACACAAGTTGTGAGGTACCCCCTCGCGATTGGTCTGACGGGTGACAATGAGGACCCAGGCTACGGACGGGCGACTCACGGCCGTTTGTGCGTGCGGCTGCAGGGAGCGCGTCGTGAATACCAGCAAAACGGGCGACCTCCAGATCACCATTTCTGACCTCCGACCCGAGACCACGTACACCTTCCGGGTGGTGGCCTACAACAGGCATGGGCTGGGCGAGAGCTCCGCGCCGCTCAAAATCTCTACCCAGCCGGAAGGTGAGACGGCGATGAGAGAAGGGAAAGGCTGCCCCGGGCCCGAGTGCTCGCCGTGTCTCGCCAAGACAGAAGTTCTTTGTGTTTGTGTTGTGTGTCTCACTGGACGGGTGCTCGCTAACAGCACCTGCTACATCCGGCAGCCTTGAGAATCGCGCAGTTGCCTTCGCTGTCCTCTCGGGGCCGCCGGCGGAGACGAGTGCTCGCTGCTCCCATTGCTCGTTTTGAACGGCGAGAAACACTGACTTGTTTACTTAATCTGAAAAGATTTTTATAAATGTTTTGTAAAAAAATTAATAACACAGTTTGTTGTCCTCCCCCCCCCACGGTTGTCTACGTACGGTGCGAAAGAAGTTCAACGTACTGTACATGCCTGGGTATTTAAATGCCCCGTTAGGTTCCCGGAGAGTGGAGAAGGCCGGTGTTGCTTTACACAAAGCCTGTAAATTCTGTACGGCCTTTGACCTCCCCGTAGTCGTGCTGCGGCCCCGAGGGCGAAGTCCCTGCAGTGGCTCACGTGGCAAGGGGGGTGGGGTGCGACTCGCTGGGGCCCAGGCGCGCTTTGAAGAAGTCAGACTTCCTTCAATAATACAGTTTTTTCTTGGGTTAGACCGCGTAAATATATAAATGTGTCGTTAAACCCGCTACCACCCGACACGGCCAACTAGTAAGGTTTGTCGCGTTAACAGAACGTGGCCAATTCGTTACCTGTACAGCGCACCGGTGTGTTGGAGAGCAAAGCCACAACATTTAGAGACCTTTTTCATGGACTGCAGGCGCAAAGCGACGTGTGCGCACAGCGGACGCTTCGCCGCCGTGAGGCTCGGAGCCATTGGCAGCCACGCCGACATTGCGTCATGAGTTACCGCGAAAACTTTGCTTTTCCTGAGTGTAAAACTCTCTCGCGCGGGAACGACGTAGCGTTTGTGCGCGGCTGTCGCGCGGAGATTTTACAGCTGTGCTTGTTTAGCCCATTAAGCGTCTCGCGCGTCTCCCAGCGTAAACGGTGCACTTAATGTGTCCACGCAGCCCAGTGGGTCACTTAAAAAAAAAGTTACTATTTTTATTTGACCAGGTAAGGCCCACTGGCCATCACCAATGATGGCTGAACGAAGTGGTTTATGAAATGGAAATGTATAGCAGCCATATACTCTAAACGCATGTTTTCTATGTGTGGAGGAAAATACCAGAGAACTTGCAAACTCCAAAATACAACAGGCGTCAGGGTCGGGATCGAACCCACGACTTCCTGCACACCAGGCGAGGTAGTTAACATCTCGCCCCTGCCCCCCCCCCCCCCCCCGCGGGCACACCTCACCGGCCCCGTGAGCCGGCGGCTGCCTTCGTCACGGCGGTGCGGTCGTGTCTTGCGTGCGTGCGGCCGTGGGGCCGGCACTGAAGAGACGCCGTGTGTTTCGTGTTGGCTGGGTGGGGGGGGACAGTCAAACGTGTCTCAGTTTCCCTTTGCGTAATCTCGGAGCCCTTTGTGCCAGTACAACAGAGGGTTGCAAAAAAAAATTTATACCAGAAAAATGACAAACAACCAACCCGTGAATGTGGCAGGGGAGAATATTTAATACAAATGTCGTGTTTCCACGCAAGCTCCGTTAAAAACCCCCCGAGACGGTACTTAGCGGTGATCCCTTCCCGGGAATTGGTCAGCGTTGCGCGGCCCATGATTGTGTTACGGGCTGTTAAGCCGGTTTCATTAACCGTCCACGGCGCGTCCATCAAATCGTGCTTCATTCTAACGCAGATGCCAGCTGAGGCGGGTTGATTAAAGCCCGACCGGGTGATGTTTAATGTTCCCATTTAAAAGTGGGCGAGAGTCACTCGAATCTGTTTCAATGCTCCTGGGCTGCATGCTGTTCCAATTTGGCCTCAGGAGCAACTGCCGGTGGAGTAATATATTAAAAACGTCGGCTGATGCATTATGAAACCAGGGGACATTTGCCTGAGTTTAAAATAATATCACGTTACAATACATTCGCACGCTACGAAGGCACGTAAAGTGATGCCGAAGCGAGGCGTGTGGAGTTGTGTGTATGTGTGCATCGTGCGTAGCCAACCACGCGAAGGAAGGACAACAAACTAAGCACAATAAGTAATTCTAAAGCAATGAGTTTGTCAATATAGATGATTATTTAAAAGTGCATCACTCCCAGTGACTTCCTAATATCGGAAAGCAGAGCGTTCCAGACGGCCGCAGAAGCTCGTCTGAGTGAACTGAAGAGGTGCAGCCCTGGCAGAACCCTCGTCTGATAATTAGCAACGTGGATCGGCACTCTGCCCCAAGTGCCGTAGTTTGAGCGATCCAGCAGCGATTGTTACCAGCAAACCTGCTGATGAGACTCAAAGAAGTTGAAACCAGCCCAGAGTTTTGCTGCTGAGATAAATATTCAAAAATAAACCATGAATAGATTTTTTTTGTAATTATTTTACTTTGGTGATGTCACAGACCCTTTCCCGGTTCGGTCTGTTATTTTATAATTATTTTGTTGCAAATTAATTTGCGTTTAAGTCGAGGAGAGAACCGGGTTAAAGTTCGTACATAATCGGCAACAAACGTGTCATCTGCTTTAAATCGCAAAATGAACAGACCCTGCGACATCAATTCACGAACAGAGTAGGCGCCAATTACGTACCCCGGCGTCGAAAACCCAAATCCCAAATGGGACGTACCTGCAAACTAAACCGCGAAAGGTGACCGCGGGGTCTTCCACTGCCCGGAGGGAACGAGTCCTCGGTGGGCTCGCTGCCGACTCGTCGTTAGGCGCGGGGGAGTATTTATGGGGCCAATAACCGCTGTCGGGATGTGTGCCCGTCTACCACGGCACAGCATGGGGGTTGCAAGGCTGCCCTGTTCGGGGAGTAGTGGTGTGGTTTAATGCATGTACGTACGTACGTTGAACTTCTTTCACGCTCTACGTCGCCAACTGTGCTAATCGGAAGCGTGGGGAAAGGACCACAAACTAAACACTAAAAGCAGTCCTAAAGAAATGAGTTTTCCATCTAGATTTGAAAGTGCATAGCCCCAGTGGCTTCCTAATATCAGAAGGAAGAGCATTCCAGACATTCGTATTTGAAAGCGCACGATGCAGTAAATCGTATTTGTTCGATGGCTAGCCAAAGGGCCGCTGCTGCGAGGCGTTCGCGTGATGGTTTATGCTCCTGGACGAGATCAACAACGGTTATAATGGAGAGCCTTCTGTGAGGGGCACCTTTTTTTTTGTTATTTATGGGACCGTGTTCCCCAAACACGGAACAAAGAATGGCGAAAATCCTGAACACGAGTCGCAGCTGCCCAGTCTGCGCGTGCTGCGCCCTCCGATAGGCTGCCCAAAGTTGGCAAATTCGCGGAAAGTAAATCCCTGTCGAGAAAGTGAAGCGCGGCCTGCGTCGGGCGCCTGCCGCCGTTTGGCCGCAGCGGCGTGCCCGGGTGTGGGGTGGGGCGGAACCTGGGGCCCTCGGAGGGCCCGCTGCGCCGGCGTCGTCGTTAAGGTGAAAGGGGGCAAAGGCGGCGGCCCCGGCAGTTGCTCGCTCGGCCCCACCGCTGCCGGCAGAAGGGCCTCCACTCGAGCGAGACGTGGTGAACGCCTCTCGCGGGCACTTCCCCTGCTCGTCTGCACGGACCAGATGTGTAGGAGGAGGTGCGAGCGCGCACACTGTGCCCCGTCGCACGTGACCTGTCCGCACGTCTAACCGTGGCGCTTACCCCGTTTTTTACTGCTGGGTGGAACGATGCGGTGGGGGTCAAGTAACGTGGACGGACTGATTGACATCTTGAGGAGTAGTTGCGAGTGTTCTGATGGTTGTGAGTGGTAGAGTCGTGACGGCTGCGAGCCTTGCACGGTTGCAATTGTCAGATGTGGTGTGGAGATCTCACGGTGTGCCCCCCCCCCCCCCCGCCTCCTTGGTTCTCAGTGCAAGTGCCGGGCCCCCCCGTGGGCCTGCAGGCGACGGCGCTGTCCCCCACGTCGGTGTCCGTGTTCTGGCAGCCGCCGCTCTCGGGCAACGGGCCCATCCTCAACTACCGCCTCCTCCACGTGGAGCGTGGCAAGGGCCCCACCGGCGAGCAGGTCGGGGTCGCGACCTCACCGCCAGGCCGCAGCCTCGGCGGCCCGAAAGCGGGCACACCAACGGCGCTTCGCTCTGTGCGGCGATCGTCTGTTTCCGTTCACCGTGTGCGCGTATACGGTCAACGGAACGGAATCGGAATAAAAACTGAAGTCAAATAACTTTGTCGGTTCGTCTTCAGGTCGGAAGACGTACTGAGGCTCCCGCAAGGCCATGCGGGAGGACGTGTGGCACAGTTTGGCACCTGCTATCATAGAGTGTGGTCGTGTCGCTACGGTTCTGTGCGGTGAATACGATGTCTTTAAAAACGGCGACGCTACGCCTCTCTAATTAAAATTAACGCTGGACCGCTTGTGCGTTCCGAGATTCAGTGATGAACGGGACACCCACCCCGCAACTTGCAGACGTCTCAGAACGAGAAAGGGTTTTCGTGCTGACACTGAGCCCGTCGAGATCGCTGTTGCCAACCTGCGGGTGTCCTCCGGTCTCGGCAGGTTTGCAAGTTGAACGCGTGTAGCGAATTCTTGTGCCGCACGCGTTCGCCCGACCACGGAGTCTGGGGAGGGGGGATAGCGGCATCCCGGCGCGTGCAGGCTGGTCCTCGTGCCACCTGCGGTGTTGACGCGGCGCCAGCCGTTGAGATGCCTTCGTGAGCAAAGTGGTCGTCTCCACTTGCCGTGAGCTAAACGCGCTGCTCGTAGCCTCAGGCTACCTTTGTTATCAAAAAAGCTCTCTCCGGTGGGTTTTTGATCGTCGGTGTTTCAGTCTGCCAGGCATCTCCGGTAAACGCTTTATATTTGGTTTCACGCTCCTGTTTTTAAACACTATCCCTCACCCCACCCCCTGCATTTAAACTCGGCACAATAACGTAACCGCTCTTAAGCCGTGTTTGTGGATTTCCACAAAAGTAATGTTGTTATTTTCTAGTGTATGCGCAGCTTCATCATGTCAAAATTGTCTTTATTAATATAATTAAAATTTGATGTACAAATGTAGACTTCTGTGATTAGATAGCCTTCCATAATATGATTTCATAATAATTGGTAAAAACAAGGTACGGAGTAAATTGATTTACGGGATATTGATGGATGTTTTCCTCCCGTCAGGCTAATGGATAAGTGAGTTACCCTGATGAGCCCGACTATTGAGCATGAAGAATACGGGGAAGACCCCATCAATACGAGGATAATAAAGTGGACAGTAATGTGAACGTAACAAGTTTTGAAATTGAAAATAGTAATTTGTTAAGTGTGAATTACGATTGATGAGTGGCCGTTTCCATTCAACCCTCACCGCTCCTCTCCCGTGGACGATAATGGATCGTTAATTAATTATCTTTGCAGGCAAAGGGGATGGCACGCACACACACACACACGCACGTCCACAACAACAAGGGGCGTACGCCACCAGGTGGCGGCGACGTTGCCACAGCTCCTGTGCCAGGTTAGGTGCACCTTTAGGAAGGCTGGCCAACAGGAGGTCACATAACACAACCCCAAACGGCGGCCGCCATTTGTATAGGGGCACGAGTAATCGGCAGAGGGTGCCACGGTGGCTAGGAGATGTTAACTACCTCGCCTGTTATGCAGGAGGTCGTGGGTTAGATCCCGACGCCTTTATATTTGTAATCTGCACGTTCTTCCCGTGGTCGCTTGGATTTTTATCCGGGGTTCTCCGGCTCTTCCACTCCACATTAAGAAACGTGCGTTTGGAGCATATTTGGCTTGCTGTAAATTTCCACGCGATGATAAGCCGCTTCGTTGAGCCATCATTTGTGGTAAGATCGCTTCTGATAAAAGAGCTACATTTGTTAGCTCAGTGGGCCCTTAGCCTGCCTAAAGTAAAAAAATATCGCGCCAATCGACGTGGTGGTGAAACGCGGTCGAGCAAGCGTGAGATTGCGTGCGATGCGGTCTTTCGTCCATGGACAAAGAGCCGTCAATGACAGTGTGTTTGTCTTCACCTTAAAACGTCGCCGACTGGGTCTCCGCTAAACGCTCGCCCCCTGTGCCCCCCGTGCGCGCGCGCCCCAGGAGGTGGACGTGGAGGGCCTCTCGTTCGTCGCCCACGGCCTCAAGAGGTTCACCGAGTACAGCTTCCGCGTCGTGGCCTTCAACCGGCACTGGCCCGGGCCTCTCGTCCGAGGACGTGACGGCGCGCACGCTGTCGGATGGTACGCACGTGCACACGCACACACAAGAACAAATATCTCCCCGTGTAGCCTTTAACAGACTGTTGGGGTAAGTGCTGTTAGCGAGCACCTATGAAGGCCGGCATAGGACAGCACCTCGCCGTTACGAGCACACGAGCGCAGACGTACGCACGGACAAACACGCACGTACGCACGCGCGCAGTCTGATGTGGAGCTAGTCCGGTGCTGAGCTCCTGTTCGCTCGCTCGCAAGGAGAGGGGGTCCCACGTCTATCCCCGTAAACTCTTGGGACAGTCGCTGTTAGCGAGCGGCCGTCAAGGCCGGCGGGCGAGGCTCACGGAGGGTGACGTGGGTAGTCACGCACCCAGCTGCTTCTGTCCCCTTGGCTCCGATGTTGATCATCGCACTGCAGCAGCGAGATTCTTATTTTTACACCGAGCGACACGGGAGAGATGGAGGCCAGGATCACGCGAGCCATCAGCTGCTGGATCACGCTGATGGTGGTGGAGTCAGGGTTTTGATCACCACCCCTCCACCCCCTCCTCGGCTGCCTCTAACGATGGCGTTTGTTTGCAGTGCCGAGCGCACCCCCCCAGAACGTGACGGTGGAAGTGCTCAACTCCAAGGTAAGCTTGGGTCACACTCCCACACTCCCCAACTCCCAAACTCCCCCACTCCACCGCTCCCCAACTACCCCACTCCACCACTCACTGTCGCCAGACTTGGCTCATGCTGGGCTCGGCTTGGGCCGGGGTTATGCGTCTGAGCGACAGCAAGCGTAGTAACTTCCTCCGTGCGCGCTGCACAGAAACCTGCAACTCATAAACCGTGCAGACTTTTGAGACACTCCGCATCCTCTGCGTTTCATTTCCGTTCGGTCCCGCGGTAAGCCTTGCTCGCCGGCAAAACCGCAGCGTAACGTTTCGGTAACCTACAATTATCGGCGGTTTCTGATTTATGCTTTCCTACGTAACACTGAAAACCGCATTTTAAAGGAAGGAATAATGATGCCTTGTAATGGAAAGTGGAAAAAAATACAAAACCTCTGGGAAGACCGAGGCGTAGGGAAATAAACTTGAAACATACGCCGTCCGGTCGCTGCATCGAATCACCGCCCTGCCGCCCCGGGCTCCGTGCCCGGAGCGACGCCCGCGGCCGCTGCGGCACCGTGAGAGAGCGCGGCCCCTCGGGCGCGACGCCACCGGCCGGCGCTGACGCGGACTCGCCGGGCCCGCCGTGGTTGGCCAAACGTGTCGGAGAGCGAGTCTTGCGTCGCTCCGCGTGAGAGGGGTTGGAAACCGTGAACCTTCGCCGCCCTTTCCCCAGTTCCGAGACGCCGAATCTGGGAACGGGCAAAGCCGCACCGTCTTTTTTCAAGACGTTGTCGCTCGCCACAGAGAAGCGTAGCGACACGGCCGCACTCTGCGATAGCTGGCGCCAAACTGCACCACACGCCCGCGCGTGGCCTTTTACTTCCGTACGTGTACGTACGGCGTCGCGACGGGAAAGGGTGAGCTGAGAAATGCTGAACAACGCCATCTTAAAACGGGAGACATTGGCAAGCCGCTGCTCACGTAAATCAGGCGCAGCGATTCCTAGCAATCGATATTAAATAGACCGGGGCGATGGCAGTCGTTACGCACGTGACGTGCACACTTTTACCTGTTGCTCTATGCCGAACAGTTAAGACGTTGATCGGCATTGCATATTGAACGCAGCCGCATCTCAAAGCGCGGGAGGGAGGCTTCCGTTATCCATTCGGACCGTGACGACGAGACGGGCCGCGCACGGGGAGGGGGGGAGGAGAGGAAAGTCCCGAGCCTGGACCTGAGCGGAGGCAGGGAGTCGACAGCACAGATGGCTGGGGGGGGGGGGGGGAGACGTGCGATATTTTAATTAAATGCCAGAAACGTGTCACGCTTGGTGGCATCTGCCGTCATCGCTTGGAGAAGGATGCGTGCCTCTCCGCTTGCCCCCGAGGGTGCTTGCAGATGAACGGCGGCCGGACTGCACCGACCCTCTGCTCTCAATCGGTGGTGTTTGTGTCCGGGTTTCGCGGCCTAGAGCTGCTGCACAGCTGCTGTCTCGGTGTGCTCTCACTTGGGTTGGTTGAACAAAGGTCTCGTGAATATCCAGGGAGTGTTTGTGGATATCTCTGTAAAGCGAGGGATTGTAGTGATGAAGTGACTTTTGTATCGAACATAAACATTGAACTGTGTCAGGAAAGTGGCGTTTTAGGGTTCTTTTCTCTCACACTCTCCCCACGCTCTCTCCCCCTCGCTCTCTCCCCTCGCTCTCTCCCCCTCGCTCTCTCCCCCTCGCTCTCTCCCCTCGCTCTCTCTCCCCTCGCTCTCTCCCCATCGCTCTCTCCCCCACGCTCTCTCCCCCTCGCTCTCTCCCCCCTCGCTCTCTCCCCCTCGCTCTCTCCCCCACGCTCTCTCCCCTCGCTCTCTCCCCTCGCTCTCTCCCCTCGCTCTCTCCCCTCGCTCTCTCCCCCTCGCTCTCTCCCCCACGCTCTCTCCCCCACGCTCTCTCCCCTCGCTCTCTCCCCCACGCTCTCTCCCCCACGCTCTCTCCCCCTCGCTCTCTCCCCCTCGCTCTCTCCCCTCGCTCTCTCCCCCACGCTCTCTCCCCTCGCTCTCTCCCCCTCTCTCTCTCCCCCTCGCTCTCTCCCCTCGCTCTCTCCCCCTCGCTCTCTCCCCCACGCTCTCTCCCCTCGCTCTCTCCCCCTCTCTCCCCCCTCCTCCCTCTCTCCCCTCGCTCTCTCCCCCACGCTCTCTCCCCCTCGCTCTCTCCCCCTCGCTCTCTCCCCTCGCTCTCTCTCCCCCGCTCTCTCCCCCTCGCTCTCTCCCCTCGCTCTCTCCCCCACGCTCTCTCCCCTCGCTCTCTCCCCTCGCTCTCTCCCCACGCTCTCTCCCCTCGCTCTCTCCCCCACGCTCTCTCCCCCTCGCTCTCTCCCTCGCTCTCTCCCCCACGCTCTCTCCCCTCGCTCTCTCCCCCTCGCTCTCTCCCCTCGCTCTCTCCCCTCGCTCTCTCCCCCCCCTCTCTCCCCCTCGCTCTCTCCCCTCGCTCTCTCCCCCACGCTCTCTCCCCTCGCTCTCTCCCCTCTCCTCCCCCCGCTCTCTCCCCCACTCTCTCTCCCCTCGCTCTCTCCCCCTCGCTCTCTCCCCCCGCCTCTCCCCCACGCTCTCTCCCCCACGCTCTCTCCCCTCGCTCTCTCCCCCACGCTCTCTCCCCTCGCTCTCTCCCCCTCGCTCTCTCCCCTCGCTCTCTCCCCCACGCTCTCTCCCCTCGCTCTCTCCCCCTCGCTCTCTCCCCCTCGCTCTCCCCCCTCCTCTCCCTCCCCCATCGCTCTCTCCCCCACGCTCTCTCCCTCGCTCTCTCCCCCTCGCTCTCTCCCCCACGCTCTCTCCCCTCGCTCTCTCCCCCCACGCTCTCTCCCTCGCTCTCCCCTCGCTCTCTCTCCCCTCGCTCTCTCCCCCACGCTCTCTCCCCTCGCTCTCTCCCCCACGCTCTCTCCCCTCGCTCTCTCCCCCTCGCTCTCTCCCCCACGCTCTTCCCCACGCTCTCTCCCCTCGCTCTCTCCCCACGCTCTCTCCCCTCGCTCTCTCCCCTCGCTCTCTCCCCCTCGCTCTCCCTCGCTATCTCCCCCTCGCTCTCTCCCCCTCGCTCTCTCCCCTCGCTCTCTCCCCCTCGCTCTCTCCCCCTCGCTCTCTCCCCTCGCTCTCTCCCTCTCGCTCTCCCCTCGTTTTCCCCCCCCACGCTCTCTCCCCTCTCTCTCCCCTCGCTCTCTCCCCTTGCTCTCTCCCCTCGCTCTCTCCCCTCGCTATCTCCCCCTCGCTCTCTCCCCCTCGCTCTCTCCCCCTCGCTCTCTCCCCTCGCTCTCTCCCCTCGCTATCTCCCCCTCGCTCTCTCCCCCTCGCTCTCTCCCCTCGCTCTCTCCCTCTCGCTCTCCCCTCGTTTTCCCCCCCACGCTCTCTCCCCTCTCTCTCCCCTCGCTCTCTCCCCTTGCTCTCTCCTCGCTCTCTCTCACGTGCACATTGATTGACACCGCATGCCCCACGCGTCTCTTGGGGTGTCGCTGGAAGAAATGAACTTTATTCACGCGAGATGCGATTCTTGTCGGCAGCCCTGACAGGAAACAGGCCGCCTTGATTAGATGGAATTTCGATGCCCTGGAGATTGGGGTCGGAGGGCAAAGGGCAAATCCATTCCTGCCAGTCATATTCTGCCATTCCTTGCTAATTACGGTATTCCAAATACCGAAGAGCCGCACATAATAGGCGTTTTTCCCTGCACTTTATTATTGTTCATCGGTGGTGGGACTTTTTTTATTTAATCATCTCGAGGCGGCGCGTACGCGTCGCGTATGCGGGCCCTGGCAAGAAATCGATATGACGGGGGGGGGGGGGAGCGCAGGGAGAAGAGGTCTGGGTGGGGAGTCGCTGTCCAGCCGCGATGCATTATTAATCACAAACGTTTCCGCGCTCCTCGTGCATCACGAGCCGTCCTCGTTAACATTCGGGCTCGCCGAGCCGTTAGAGAGCGCGGCTCCCGGAGCCTCGCTCGCCCGGAGCCTCGCTCGCCGTGGCACTGAGAGCCTCGCTCGCCGTGGCACTGAGAGCCTCGCTCGCCGTGGCACTGAGAGCCTCGCTCGCCGTGGCACTGAGAGCCTCGCTCGCCGAGCCTCGCTCGCCGTGGCACTGAGAGCCTCGCTCGCCGTGGCACTGAGAGCCGCGCCGCCGTCGCGAGCGGGACAGCCGCTGAGGACAACTCGCTAAACGCAACGACGCCAACCGTAGCCCGCCTGATGCTTCACTGTCGCCGGGATGGTGATCGCATGTGGACGTGGCAATGAAAGTTTCGTCCTCACTTTGGGATCGTCGGCGAGGTGAAACAATACCCAGAGATGTTGTGGCATTGCACGTTCAAAGGCTCTCGGCCTTACCCAGACCAGCAGCTCGGTGGCCATTTTTGTCGTTTCGAGAATTCAGAAAATGTGGCCGTCCCAACACGCGAGTTCTTTTGAGTTGGTGGTCTGGGTAAGGCCACAAGCTTTTGTACCTGCAAAGCACACCTTTGCGAGTGGTTGAATCCGCTCGTGTTTCCGTGAGCTGCGCGTGAGCTGCACGGGGTGCGAACGCCGCCGAGCGTGGACGCGCCGTCCGACGAAGTCATTTCGATCGTAACGGCGGCACGCGTGGCGGCTTCCCCTCTCTTTCCTAATAACCTCACGCGATCCTCAATGTTCACTGTGAAGTAGACTGTCGCGTAGTTTTTTTTACGGTCAATACACCCGCGCGGCATTAACCGGGGGTGGCCGTGGGCTCGAACCAACGAGCCTCGGTGAACAAACGGGCGAGCGCCCGGGCAGGTCACAGCTCCCAAAGGTCCCTCAGGGCCGGGGAAGGAGTGGCAGGCCGCAGGGGGAGCCGGAGCCCGCGGACCAAACGAACGATGGGAGACGGCGCTTTACCAAGCGGAAAATAAGTCGTCATTTAATCTGAAAGGTGACATTTCACCTCCTCTTATTTTTCCTCGGAGGGGTAAGCTAAATATTTAATATCGCCGCTGTCACAGGCCGAAACCTCGAGCTCTGCAGAGGCAGCATCCAAGGCCTCCCCCCCCTACCCCCACCTCCTCCCGCCACCCCCCCCCCCCCCCCAGGGCCTTGAGCTTCAGCCCAGTAGGGTGGCCCCGTCGGCGGGCAAGCTCAAGAGACGTTCACGTTCCACGCTCTTGTAGCCGTTACTGCTTGAGCCGAGTGGACCGCGGCATTATCAGCCTCGTGTTGTTTACGGCATCAACTGGATTCCGAGTATACTTCCCCTTGGATTGCTGATGGATCGTACCTACTGTATAAGCAACGCAAGTCGCCGTGGTCAATTGTAGGTAAAGTGCAGCTAGAATTGCGCTCGTGATGATAAGCGTTCAACAAATGAATCGCAAAGTGTTTTTTTTTCAGCCAATCAAAGCGGAACTGCTGAGGCAGCAGCGTGCATCAATAATGCAGGCGTCTCGGGTTCTCAGCGGCCGCCTCGTGTCGGTGGAGGTGTGAGGGACGGGTGTGGGGCAGCGCCCTCTAAGGAGGAGGCAATTCTGACAAAGCGGCCCAACGGCCCAGCAGGTGCTCCAGTGTCGATAGGACAGTGGAACCTGGCAGTGGGAAAGCGTTCGGCAGGAGCCCATCGCCCTCCGCGTCCGCTCCGCTCGCTCTGCGCTCCAGAAGAGACGACGACCGTGCCTGTCAGATCCACCGAGGCACTTAACACTCTGCCACGCGCGGCGATCGTGCGGCTTAAATATGACGAGCGACGTGAAGGATGCATGGCACCACGTCCTCCTGCGCGACACTTGAGCATGGTTGTCGCTTTGCGTCAGCGCCGCCGGCGAGAGAGGGACAGACGCTCGCATCGCGCGCCCAGGCACCCTCCTCTCTGCCTGGGCACTCGGCGGTCGATCGCCCCCTCCCCCCCACCCCGTGACCTTCGCGATCTCGGGAGGAAGAGGAAGAAGACCCTGTAACCGCACAGCTGCTTTGAACAGCACTTTAATATTTTATGAACTGGGGCTAAATCGGGCCCATTGTACATTAAGCCAATAGAAAGTAATTAATTTCTGGAGATTGACATTCGGGCAGTTCAAAGCAGTCGGGGTTAAGAAAATTCTACGGACGGCATCGACTGCTGCGCGGAAACACGGCCTGGAAATACCTCGCCGCCCTCGTCGTGATGGAAGCCACCGGAGTGGTAATAATAATAGTGCGATGGTTCTCCTGTTACAGCTCCGTATTCCATCGCACCCCCCCACCCCCACCCCCGCTCTGCCTGCAGTGAGGCCACTTAAGAAATGCAGCTTAATAATCGCATTATTAAGTCATCGGGCCGCGTGTGAGTTACAACTGCGGGGGAAGTGAATCCAGCCAGCGGAGGTTCGGGTTTCCTGGGCGTTTTGAGGATGACGGTGCCACGTGCCCGCGCGCCCGCAGCCTCGCGGCGTCTCACCCAACGGATTCATGCGGCGCGTGGCAGGCGAGGGGGACGCTCCTCGCCGGCGACAATGATGATGGCGTTGATTGCCTTCGCTCACGACGAGGTTGGAGCTCGTCCGAGACCCCGAGGGGTTTTATTTTTTTCGAGGCCCGGTGGGAAGGGGCGGGGGGGGGGGCTAACTAAGTACGGCGCGACGTCGCGCGGCGCAGATTCCAGGGTGCAAACGATTCGAATCGCGGATCGAGTGTAATTGGTGGTAGCGGCTCCCACCGCTTTCCTTTCATCAGCCGCCTCTCGTTTGTTTATTGTGTTTGAGCTTCACGGAACGGTGAGCACTGTTGATTTTGCATCGGCGGCATGCACGCTTCGGGAGGAATCGCCCCCCCCTCCCCCCCGCTTCATAGCCCCCCGTGGCCCGTGAGCTTCGTCGGTGCAGTTGCACCGCCTGCGCACGGCCACTGCCCTCGTGGTTGTACGCGTGCCTCGCGACCGACGGGGCAGGCAGGAGAGTTTTTTCATCAAGTGCAGGTTACTCGAGGGTGGTATTGACCGACTTGTGAACACGTCGGGGCAATTGGCGAATTGCCCGTGCAGTAAATATTCCAGAGCGAAACCCACGGTGTTCTCAGATTTGCCCTGCAGCTTCGTATTGTAATCTCTCCGAACGGAAGCCTTGGTGATTGAAGAAACAATTAAATCCCCCAAAAAATGATGAAACTAACAATTATTGCTTCGTGTGTTTATTTTTTTAAAGAAAGTAATGTTAAATCGTTCACGAATGAAGCGCTATTGTTTCGTCTTTAAGAGTTGGCGAAGCTGTGCGAAAACGGAGGCCTGCGTGGGTGAAACGTGCCCAAAAAACAAGCCGAGGTGTATGAATAATAAGAATAGGTTTTACCCTTTCTGGCAATAAAACAGGTGTTAAGATGTTCAAACACCAAATAGCTACTTTTTTCAAGGAATAAAGTTTTCATTAACCACACGTACATGTGGTGAACATGCTAGTTTACACTAGTTTTAAAAAAAAATTGTTCAGTTTGAGTATCTATAGTTTTCTTGGAAAGAACATTCTTGGTCTGGACTCGGTGTGCTGGTATAAATGATGAGCAGAACTGACACGTGACATAGGGCATGAGATCGAGTAACTTAGCCCCCTTGCGAGAGAAATGTGGAACATTCACAACTCACTCTAGGGTTGTCCAGCAGGGGATGGCACTATCCCACACTCATTTGAGCATGAGGGCAGACCCCCTCGACTCACTCAATGAAAGTCCTGCCTTGAGATGTGTGGCCAGTCACTGGCCACAGAATACTTCCAGTATAAAGAGATATTCAGATTGAGTGGTTTTCTACTCGGGCCGTGAACTGCAAGAACCGGAGAGAACCTACGCCACAGTATGAGTGGGATACCAGCGCAACGTTTTCACTCAGGGTCACAAAAGCCCACTTTGCTGTTACGCCCGCTCCATGCCACCTCACAATCCGGCGGGTTTGTGGTGCCGGCAAAGGGTGCCACGTGTACGCGTGTACGCGTGTACGCGTGTATGCGTGTACGTGTGTACGCGTGCGCGCAAATCCACGAGACGCAGAAGTCCACGAGCCATGCTCTCGAAGCGCGTGTGTGTGAGAGAGCGTCGCTCGGTGACGAGCCCCACGGCCCTGTGGGTGGGAACACCCTCGGAGGAGCCTCCCCCCCCCCGCTGCGGCCTCACCGCCGTCCGTGTGCCGCAGGCCATCCTGGTGCGGTGGCAGCCCCCGCCCCCCAGCGCGCACAACGGCGTCATCGTCGGATACCGCATCCGGCACCGCAAGACCGGGCGGCGCAGCGAGGCAGAGGTCACGGAGAGCAGCCAGCTGTGGCACCAGCTCGCTGGTGAGACGCTCGGCGTGCGCGCTCGTGCGTGTTCGTGCAGGCGTGCGTGTGCGTGCGTGTTCGTGCGTGTTCGTGCGTGTTCGTGCGTGTTCGTGCGGGCGTGCGTGTTCGTGCAAGCGTGCGTGTGCGCGTGTTCGTGCAGGCGTGCGTGTTCATGCGTGTTCGTGCAGGCGTGTGCATGCGTGTGCGTGCGTGCGTGTATGTGCGTGCGTGCGTGTGCCTGCAGAGACCAAGACCCTTGACGCACCCTGTAGCCTCAGCAGACCGTTCGGGGCGAGCGCTGTTAGCGAGCACCGGTGAAAGCCGGCGCGGCACCACGCCCGGCCGCCTTTGTTCTCCCCCCTCAGGGGTGGTGAAGTTTACACTCCGGCAGCAGGTGCTCATTTAAGGCTCGCCCGACCTACGGACGAACCGGAGATCACGTCGGATATTCGTCACTCGATGTTGGGCCGTGAGCGGGAATCGAATTCGGGTCGTCGGGTTAGTGGTGCGGTGGTTTTGGTCAGCCCACGCCGCCGCATACGCGTGTTTCACGCGCGCCTGCGCACGTGCAACATATATACGCTCCAGCGAAACGCGCGCAATCTCACACGACCGAGCAAGGACAAGACCCGCATGTTGTGCGATGATATGCCCACTCAATGTTCTCTCGTGTTTATAAAAAGATGCTGCCCTTGAGAGTTTCAGGCCCTCGGAACACACGCTTGTTAGCCAGCTCCCATTAATGCTGCATGACACATGACGGGGTGCGGGGAGCGTTGGCGCAATGCTTAGCTATGAAGCCTGCCCTGTTAAAGCAATGCCTCTCGGTATCCTGACGTTATAAAGCAATGTCGGCCAATAGATGCCGAGTTTGACTCTGGCCAGGCACATGTGGTACAGCCACATTGCAAAGCAAAAGCATTATTACAGAATCCAGTTACCAAAGACTGCACACACACACTAAAAAAAACGTTATTTTTTTTGGCGGTGTTCGCCACCCTTCAGCTCTTCAGGAAGACCGATTTCTGTTCGGTCGTCATGCAACAAGAACCACTGAGAGGCGGCGTAACGGAGTGGACAAATGCCAATTGAAGCAGCTTGAGAAGGAACACATTTTTCAGAGCCGTTGGCCAACGCGGCGCGGTGCCGTGTGGTGTTGGCGGACGTGCTTCGATCGCTACGAACGGGGGGTGCCTCCTGTCACTTGATGGCGGTCGCTCGCTCACAGAGTCTAAACTCAACTATATTTTTTTGTTTTACTGGGCAAGGCCCTATGAGCTATGTTTCTGTTTTTCAGAAGCGACCTGGCCACAAATGATAGCCCAACGAGAAGTGGAAATGTATAGCGGCCACATACTCTAAACGCGTGTTTCTAAGTGTGGAGGGAAAGAAACGGAGAACCTGGAGAAAAATCCATGCGACGACGGGGAGAGAGACATGCAAACTCCAAATATACAGGCATCAGCGTTGGGATTGAACCCACGACCTCCTCTATACCAGGCGAGGTAGTTAACATCTCGCCACCACGAGTCGCTGCGGATCAACCAGAAGCACACCACGTGTGAGACCAGCGCCAGTGTTTAATTGCCTGCCTGTGACTGCCTGTGACTGCCTGTGACTGCCTGTGACTGCATGTGCTGCTGCTGCTGCTCTTGTTGCGACGGCCGCCGTGCTCGCCAGGCCTGGAGCGCGGCACCGAGTACAGCTTCAAGGTGTCGGCGCTTACGGTGAACGGGACGGGGCCCTCCTCCGACTGGGTCTCCAGCGAGACCTTCGAGGAGGACTTGGACGGTGAGACCCGAAGCTGCTGCCCTCCCCGCGCACGTTTCCACGCTATTTCAGTCTCACGCGCGTTCCGTGAGTGAGAAAGCCAGAAACACATAGACTTATCCGTCGTAAAGGTGTTTTGGCGAAAGCCGAAGTGTTAAATTGCTTGTAAACTGCAGGAAGGCACGACTCCCATGATGCTTTGCATTCACGTGACCGCCACGTTGCATGCGCGACATTCACATATTGTCGTGTTTATGTTTAGGCCAGCAACTCGACAATTATTGTTTGAAATTGGTGGTTTCAACAATAATATGACCACTTGTTCAGCTCCTTTGAGCGAGTGGTCTAGACAAGGCTGAGAGCATTGTGCATGTAATGTGTCGGTCACGTGATATGCATGCAAGGCAAGATGGGAGTCGTGCTTTGCCACTGCGTGTGAACAGCACACCTCTGCTTGTGGTTATTTCCATTCCTTCAATATGTTTTATCTCCGTGTCTTGGGTAGCGTTCGCAATGAACACACGTGTGGCTGAGAAAGCACCAATCCGACCGAAGAAAACCTCTTTGTTATATTTTATTTTTGATCTCCACGACTCATCGTGTCACATCTCAGAATATACACCGCAAAGTCCAAGAGGATTTGCTGATCCTTGCAAATGCTATCGAGGCTTACTGGCACTGGGCATGGGCCGAGCGTCAAGACTGTAACCGTATCGCTACACTCAATTTGCACAGCTGCTCCTCGTGAATTCCCGTGTTGTCGCGGCTCAGCGTCGGGTCATTGTGCGAGCGCGAGCGTTTGAGTCATCGCTGCTGGCCCGCCGCTGCGAGCGATCCCTCCTGAAGGATCTCGCGACAGGAGTCGCAGTGGGCCCCGTCTCCACTGCGTAGGCCGCCCCCCCTGCCGTGTAGCCGCCGAGTGATGAGCCCTTGAAACCGTGACCGGATCCGCCGCGGTTGTGTGTCCGGCGCAACCCCCCCCTCTCCACTCCACTCCCCCCACCCCCCCTCACCGGCCAAGGGTTCGGTTCGGCTGTCCCCTCTGCCCGGTGGCTGAGCACGCACGGCAAGGGGTCCGTTACGGTGCGGCCACGATTGGCAGAGGGTCCTCTAGGACCACAAATAACATTGGTCCTCTGAAACCCAGAGAGTCTGGGTGGTCCGAGTGAGTTTAGAATTTCACAAAGCGTGGCAAGCTCTCCCCACCTGTTCCACACGGGATTTCTCCGATTTTCCTCCTATAGCTGCTAAATAACTTAATTAAAGAAACGCGCAGCAGTAAATGGAATTGGCAAAAAAAAAACATCTCGATGGTGAAAAATGACCGGCGCGTTGCTTTCATTTGTCGCTACACTGAGCGAGCAACGTCAGCTCCCCGACTGTGAAACTGCAGCAGGGACTGCGCCTTCGCGATAGCCGTGCGCAAAACGTGCTCGATACGTTGTTATTATTATTAAGCCAATAGTACGGATGCTTGTCGTGGGAATTGTATCGTACTCGGTGGGAGAGGAGCAGCACCATGAACCGGCGGGATTTGACCGTAACATATATTGGAAACTCAACAAATTCGTCAATTACACTGTGACCTTCAAAGTAAAAGTATATAATCGGTGAAGTTTTGGGCAATGGCCCTTCATCACAGAACCCTCCGATGAGCACGGTTGGCTACGTAAGGGTGCGAAAGAAGCTCAACGTTGACACGTACAGCACATGGAGGCTATGTTGGTGTGCCACCGCTAGAGGGCAGCACTGATCAGGTGGTGGAGGGCAACGCAACGGATGTTTAGGCTCACTCATGGAAGGTAATTTCGGTAAGGATTGAAGGTAAGAAAATCGATTTGCTCTTACTTTGGACAGTGCGGGTATTCGCACTCCCGCGTCTCCGCGCTCCCCTCCTCGCGCGTCTGCGCCGTCCCGCACTCACCAGCGGGCGTCTCTCTCCCCGGGGCAGAGTCGCGCGTGCCCGAGCAGCCGAGCTCGCTGCACGTGCGCCCCCTCACGACGAACATCGTGGTGAGCTGGACCCCGCCGGCCGGCAGCGACGTCATGGTGCGCGGCTACTTCATCGGCTACGGCGTGGGCAGCCCCTACGCCGACACGGTGCGCGTGGATGCCAAGCAGCGCTACTTCACCATCGAGGGACTCGGTACGGGGCACGCTCCGCACCCTTCTTGCTGCGACGCGTAGGCCTGTTGAGGGTGCGACAGATACCAATAGCAGAGATGCCGATAATTCGCTCTTGTAACTGACAGCACAACGATAACATCGTGCCGTAGCAACCGGCGTCGCTTGCCGTTGTCCATGAAGCTCCTGAATACGCTCCCAGCGCCCGGAGCGAAACGTCGGACGTCGTGCCGAACAAAAAATCGTCGGCACGACGGGAACGCGTGTCGGAGCGCTGCGACCCATGGCCCAGTTTGCAGGGCGAGGTGCAGGCTCCGCGTGGGCCCCACTCCGCGTGACCCCTCCCCCACCCCCGTTGTGTGCCCGGCCGTGTGGTCACAGAGCCCAACCACCAGTACGTGATCTCCCTGAGGGCCTTCAACAACATGGGCCAGGGAGTTCCTCTCTACGAGAGCGCCACCACTCGCTCCATCACGGGTACGCGCACTCGCCCCTCGCAGATACTCACAGATACACTCACGCATAGGTACACTCACTCACAGATACACTCACTCATAGATGCACTCACTCACAGATACACACGCTTACAGATACACTCATTCATAGATACACTCACTCACAGATACACTCACTCACAGATACACTCACTCACAGATATTCACTTACAGATACTCACTTACAGATATACTCACTCACAGATATACTCACTCACAGATACACTCACGCATTGGTACACTCACTCACAGATACACTCATTTACAAATACACACGCTTACAAATACACTCACTCATAGATACACTCACTCACAGATACACTCACTCACAGATACTCACTTATAGATACACTCACTCACAGATACACTCACTCACAGATACACTCACTCACAGATACTCACTTATAGATACACTCACTCACAGATACACTCACTCACAGATACACTCACTCACAGATACACTCATTTACAGATACACTCACTTACAGATACATTCACGTACAGTGACACTCACTTGTGTGTGTGTGTATGTATGTTGGACTTATTTTGCACCATACATAGCCAACGGTGCTAATCAGATACACTCACTCATTCACTCACTCACAGCAATACCTACTCACTCCACGGTACACTCACTCACCCTAGAAGGCTGTACAGCAAAGTGTAGATTAATCTCCACCTGTCGCTTCTGTCTGTCGCCCCCTGGCACGTGTGGGTTTATTTTCCGGGTGCTCCAGTTTCGTTCCACATTCATAAACAGTCGTCATTAATAATTGGCTCTAAATATATTTGTATTCAACTTTTCTTCAATTTTTATTGTTCAAGAACGTTCAAAATATCATCGAGGGAATCGCAGGTCGCCAACCCAGCATTTCGGGGGGCAAAACCCCCCCCCTTCAGAAAGGGGACCTGCTAGAAGCACTTGGGGCTCCTCGCAGCACGACCATCGTCGGGATGACGAGTGGCAAGGGGGAGGGAAGGGGAGGCTAATGACACCTTAATCTCTGCGCCTCCGTGTGTGGCGGATTGTGCAGTGTTGTGTGAATGTGAATATTGTTGTAACTGTTCTAACCCGCGCTGCTGCGACAAGCTGTGAACTGTTTAACTGCACACGTGACTAACTGTGACTTCTCTCTTTTTTCATGTTAACATCTTTTCGTTTACCATCTTTACGCCCCTCGCTGTGTTTTGTCGCCTTTGTTGTCTGTGGGTTTTTTTTTTACGTTTTCATCCATTCTGGTGCGATCTGAATCACCATCTGTCCCACGCGGGCGTACGTACGCGCCTCCACGGGGCCGCCCCGCTCCGCGTCGCGCTGCCTCCGTGCACTGCGCGCCTCTCAACCCCTGCCGTGACCGCCCTGCACACACCCTGCACATGCCCTGCACGCACCCTGCACACTCACCGCACGCACGCGTGCGCCGCCCGTGTTGGCCGCTCGCATTCCCGCTGCTGCGCCCTGCGCGTCTCCCCTGTGCGCCGCGCGCCCCTCGTCCGCACCACGTCACTACGTGGCCTTCCCCTCCCCGCCCCCCCCCCCCCGCACGAACCCCGCGTGGTCGCCGCCTCGTGGCCTCCCTCTGGTCCCGCCTCCGTCCGTCCTGTCCCCGCCTCTCCGCCCGCTCGTCTGTTCCGTGCGGCGCCCGCCCCCCCCCCCCCCCCCCCCCCCCCCCCCCCCCCGCTGCCCCCGCCGCTCTCCGCCGCTCAGACTCGATGGACCCCTCGGAGCCCGACCCGTTTGACCTTTTCTCGGACGCTTTCACGGCAGTCCCCGAGCCGCCCACGCCCATGCTGCCCCCCGTGGGCGTCCAAGCGCTGGTGCTGGGGCCCGACACGATCCGCATCACCTGGGCCGACAACTCCCTCCCCAAGAACCAGCGCATCCCGGACGCGCGCTACTACACCGCGCGCTGGAAGACGTACTTCACCAACAACGCCAAGTACAAGGTGCGCCGGGCGGGGGGTTGGGGCGCGTTCCGCAAACCTGGGGCTATGGGTGGTGGGCGGGTGACCTCTCCTGCGCCCGGAGTTCAGGTTCAGCTTCCTTCCCATTCATGGTCCTGTTAATGCAGAGGCGTTGGCTCGAGAGTCGGTGATTACGTTTGATTCTGAAGGAAAGTATTCTTTCCTTCACGTATTCTTCCTTCGCGTGTTTTTCTTTCCCTGCGTGCAATCCTCTCGGCGGCTGTGTTGCTGCACCATTTGTGCTCCACCTCCTTGCGATCCTCCTCTTTACCAAGGGCGCCACGGTGGCGAAATGTTAACCACCTCGCCTGATATACAGGAGGTCGTGGGTGCAATCTCGAACCTGACGCCTGCTGCTGTATATTTGGAGTTTGCGGTGTCTCTCTCCCCTTGGTCGCGTGGACTTTTCTCCTGGTCCTCCGTTTGTTCCCTAAACGTTTAGAATCAACGTCACGCGTTTAGAGGATTTGGCTGCTGTACACTTCCACATGATGATAAGCCTCTTTGTTGAGCTGTCGTTTGTTATAGCCATGTCGCTTTTTAAAAAGAGCTGCAGAGCTCAGTGGGCCTTACCTGGTAATAAAAAAATAAACTTTAATACCCCCTCCCCCCCACCATCGTCCCTCCTTGCCACCCCTTCACCTCCGGTCCCCTCCCACGCTGCGCCGCGCCGTCTGCTCGCACGCGCTCTGCGATTCCCCCCCTGCCGGGAACACAGAAACCGTCAATACTTCTGACAATGTGATGACGGCCTGTGTGTGTGTGTGCATGTGTGCGCGCGCGTGCTTGCATGTGTGTGTATGTGTGTGTATGTGTGTGTTTGTGTGTGCGCGTGAGGAGCAGTCGGGTAGCAGTTAGCGCACCGCGCTACGAACTTGGCGGCCCAAGTTCGATTCCCGTTCATGGCCAACACCATTGACGATTATCTGAACTGGTCCTAGGCCTCTCCTAGGTCGACTCAGCCTCAAATTAGTACCTGGTGCGATGTGCAAACATCGCCACTGGCGAGACAAAGGCGGCCGGGCGTGGTTTAGGCCACCCACCCCCTCGTGTGCCGTGTTGGCCTTCATAGGTGCTACTCGCTAACAGCACTCGCCCCTACATTTTGCGAAGGCTACACGGGGGATCTTTGTCTTTGTGCGCGTGCTGCCGCCGCAGATGGCAAACTCGACGACGCTGAGCTACCTGGTGACGGGGCTGAAGGCGAGCACCCTCTACGAGTTCTCCGTGATGGTGACGCGCGGACGCAGATCCAGCACCTGGAGCATGACTGCGCAGAGCACCACCCTGGAGGCCGGTACGTCGCACCGAGGAATCCGGTCGCAACTAGGGGGCAGGGTGGGGGGGGCAGTGGGGGGGGGGGTGGGCGGCCGCGAAGGGCGAGTGCGCTCACCTCCCGTACGAAATGTAGCCGTTCTTTCTTTTCATATGTCTGCCAGTGCCCACGTCCGCACCGAAGGATCTCACCATCATCAGCAAGGAAGGGAAGCCGCGCATCGTCATCGTGAACTGGCAGCCTCCGTCTGAAGCCAATGGCAAAATCACAGGTGAGCCCGGCAACGCGCGAGACGGGCCCGGGTGAGCGCACGCACCAGCGACGCTGCTCTCTCGGCGAGTCCCCTGCCGTGCAGTGGTGAGTCCCAGGGCACAGCAGGGAGGCAAGTCGGAGTCGCGGTGCAGGGCTCGGCTCAGGCCCGCCGACCCCCATGGGTCGGCACGGTCGCCGCTTTAACGGGCGGACGCTGTGAACTGGGACAGCGACACACTGGCCCTGGCGAGCGTGGTGTGTTTGTGACGGTGTTATATTATATAATACCGTTACATGTGTGCAATGGCGATATTATACAAACTGCTGACTTGCTGCTAATTGCCAACCGAATCTGAAGGGATTTGAACATTTTCACCTCCCCCACCGGCTTGTGGTGGGGAGCAACCGGCCACGGTTCCGCGTGGCCGGACGAAGGCAACGTCCACGGTCACGCGGAGGCCACCGTTGTTGGGTCGCGATGACACGGGGACCCCAGGGGGGGGGGGAGCGCGGAGTTTTCTACCGCTGACCGTGTCTCCCCCCCCACCCCCCCGCACGTTGCAGGCTACATCATCTACTACACGACTGACAAGTCCGCGGAGCTGCACGACTGGGTGATCGAGCCCGTGGTGGGCGACCGCCTCTCGCACCAGGTGCAGGAGCTCACGCTCGACACGCTCTACTTCTTCAAGATCCAGGCGCGCAACTCCAAGGGCATGGGCCCCATGAGCGAGCCGGTCACCTTCCGCACGCCGCGAGGTCAGCAGCAGCGGCCGCCGCGCTCTTCTCTATCGCGCACGCACGCACGTCGTGACTCCGACTGGCTTCCAACCTTCCTCTCGGCGCCACGCTGCTTGAATGCAGCCGGGCTGGGGGCCCAAGGGTCACATCTGGGGTCACATCTGGGGTCACGGCAGGGCGGCTACGACCGCAGCGTCTGCCGTGGACCCCTATAATGTGCACCGGGGGGGGGCGCCGGTGCGTTGATGTCGACTCGACCGGGCGATGGCCTCCGCTTTGACGTTGGCACAAGGGCCGGAGGGATGCGGGGGTGCGCGTTCCTCGTTATGAAGTGGGGGGGGGTGGGGGGTGGCGGGAGAGGGAGGGGAATCTCCCTGACGGATTTGCCGTGTTTTGATTGCGCGTGAGCAGCGCGGGTTTCTGCGCTGTCCCGAATCTGTAAATGACGACAGAGCCGTCATTTACAAGGTTTGAGAGACGCGCGCGGATGGCCGAGCGCCTCTCTCAAACTCCCGTGGCCACCGGCGGTGAGGACCTGCTGCTTCTGGGCTCTGCTGGTGTCGTTTGCTTGCCACCCCACCTCCCCCCACTTCGCCCCCCCACCTGCCCCTCCCCCCGCCTCCCCCCCAACCCCCTTCAGCCCCGCCCTTGACGGCACGATGTTAACACGGAGACTTGCTTCATTTTAACGCGGTGGCATCGTCTCTCTCTCGCCCCTTCCCCTCTCGCCCCCCCTGCTCTGCCACACCTGCGAGTACCCTGGATGCCCCCCCCCCGCCCACCCTCCCCTCCCCCCTCGACCTGCTGCCCCCCCCCCCCCCCCGGGATGTCCCTGCTGATAGCACCAGCTTCTGGCAGGGGCGCTCCAGGCAGTGGCATCGCTTGGGCTGGGAGCCCCAGTCTCCTAAACCGTGCCACTTCTAATGGTAAACTCGCTTCTTCTCCTCTCCTCTGCGCAAAAAAACCTGCGGTGCCGTCGCGATCGTGTGTGCGCCGTGCGAGCGATGCGTTTGAGTCCGTGTGCCGTGTGTGCCGCTGTGCGTGTGTTACTGTGTTGGGGAGCGGTGGTGCAGCGGTTAGCGCGCTGCACGGTGAACCCCGTGGACCCGAGTTCGATGCCCGCTCACGGGCAACACCGGCGACGATTTTCTGAACCGGTCCTGGGCCCTGCCTTGGGTCAACTCAGCCTCAAATGAGTACCTGTGTATACGTCGCCACTAGGGAGACAAAGGCGGCCGTGCGTGGTGCTGGACACCCAACCCCTCGTGTGCCGTGCCGGCCTTCGTGGGTGCTACTCGCGAACACAGCACTTGCCCCGACAGTCTGTTGAGGCTGATCATCGAGACGCTGCGCCCCCCCACCCCGCCCGCTCCCCCCGCCCCGCCCCACAGACGGCCCCACGGGGCAGCAGCACCCCCTGCAGAGCAGCCGCGGCTCGGCGCTGGACAACAACCTCCTCATCATCGTGATCGTGACGGTGGGCGGCCTCACCGTCATCTGCGCCATCGTCGTGGCCGTGGTGTGCACGCGCCGCTCGGCCGCCGCCGTCAAGAGGTGAGGGCCCCAACGCACTCACGGCTGCAGCCAGGGCCTCGTGCTCACCCTCCACCTCGTCATCGTCACTCTCCCTTCTTCTCAGCAGAACCACGGCTCCAGTCAGACCCTCCCTCCCTCCCTCTCCATCCCTCCCACCCCCCTCCTCCTCCTCCCCCTCTCCCCTCCTCCCTCTGCCTTCTACTGGGTAATCACTGAGCCCTTATCGGTTCTGTCTGGCTCTTACTGTCTAACCACCTTGCTCTGATTTGAATCTACCTTGCCCCTGTACCGTCCACGTAGCCTCCACATTTTGCCGTTAACGTGGAGAGGGGAGGGAATGCCTTGAGGTGTGTCGTCCATCCCAAGCGCACAGTGTCCGCGGTGCCTAACGACGCCACGTGACGTCACCCCCCCTCCTCCTCCACAGCAAGCGAGCCGCGCCAAAGTCTCCAAACGGTTCGGGCAAGCGCAAGGGCAGCCCCAAGGACCTGAAGCCTCCGGACCTGTGGATCCACCACGAGACCGTGGCCCTCAAGCCGCTCGACAAGGCCCAGGGCCCGGGCGTCGGCGGGGGCCCTGGCGGCGGCGGTGGGCCGGGCCCCTCCGGCCCGTCCGGCCCGGCCGACCCGCACTCGGCGGCTCTGCAGTGCGGCGGCGGCGGCGGGCCGGACGTGGAGCGCGGCGACGCCTACACCAACCACCAGAGGGGCTCCTACTCAGGTGCGGAAGCCGCCCCCCGCCTGGGCCCGGCCTCCTGCGAGCGCCGTGGCCGTCGCGCACGACGTCGGTGGGGGAGGCGGTCGAGATGGATGGCGGGGGGGGGGGGGGCCCCAGTGTATTTGTTGTTTATTGTAGATTTAGATTCTAGCCGGTTAGCCGCGTGTAGCCGGAGGGGAGTCCTCACCGAGTCGGGGCTCGGGAGCCCTTGGCGCTGACGATTGGTTTTGTATTCCTGATGTTTCAAGTAACTTGCAGGTAATGTCTCAAATTAGGACGATAAGGCCAACATCCAACGGGCCTGCTCTTCTTTGTATTTTGCGGTTGACACACACCCGCAGTGTTAGTCACGGCCGGCCCGTGAGATTCAAACCGCAAACCACTGCAATAAATGCCAGGAGACAATCAGCGTGGACCGGTGAGGTCCCTGGTTTAAATGGGGAGCCTCCACTAACAAGAATAACGATGATACATATGAGGAGCCACCAGTGATAATGAGACCAGGTTCTCATGTGGATGGTCTCACGGAAAAGGTTCTAAGTCATCACCTTCTGAGCGCTTCACGCACTTTCAGGGGCTGCACGTTCGAAGGCCCGGAGGTCGCAGGACGCCGCTCGCGTCGGCCCCGCAGGACGGCACCGCGGGTTTTATTTCGGTAACTCGGCGCGGCCAAAGAATGCGCTTCGTCTTGAGCGCGGGCGGAGCTTTGTTCTGCCGCCCCATTAGCGAGCGTCGTGGGTCGCACGCAGCGGCCGCACGGCGAGCTCCGTCTCACGGAGAGGCTGTCCAGAGGCGCGGCGCGGGTCACGCGGTCACGTGGCACGCGGCCCGCGTGCCGCTGCGCTGGAGCGCGCCGATGACGGCGGCCGTAGCGAGGGTCTCCGGCTAGTGACGGACGGGGTCCCGAGTAACTGCGCATGGGCGGGCGTGCGGGCGGGCGGGCACGACCTCGAGGCGCCGGTCCGCCCAGAAGCGGCGGTCGAGGCGGTGGCGGCCCCGGCTGAGGGCAGCGCGTGTTGTGCCCCTCGCGCAGGCAAGCGAGGCGAGGACGGCATCTCGTCGTCTCTGGAGCGCTCGATAGCGGCGCGCCAAGCCATGCGCCTCAAACTGGCCGTGCCCTCCGAGCACAAACACGCGGCGCGTACGTACTCCCACACCGCCGCTCTTCTTGCCATCCCATCGTCGCGAGCACCTTTGTGTTTCTGATTTTATTTTTTATCACGTCGATGTTTGGTTTTATTAATATGTGTGTTTTCCTGCTCTCTCTCTCTCTCCCCACCCCCTGTCCCTCGCCCCCTTCCCTCTGTGCATCTCATTCTGTCTCTGCGGATGTTTTTCTGTTTTTACTTTTAATTTTATCCATACTTCACCGCCACCCTTTTCAAACCACAAAATCTTTCAACGCCTACTTCTTCAAATACGTACAAACACCGTGCATTATTTGACCAATAACGCCCCTTTCGCAAAATTGGTTGCCTACTACCCAACCGTTCAAATTGACCCAACTTGATAACCCCTCACAGCGCACCACCACCACCACCAGCAGCAGCAGCACCACCACCACCACCACACGCACCTCAGCCACTCGGCCGCGCTGCTGCCGAGCCCGGCCCCTCCCCCCGTGCCGTCCCCCCCGGCGTCCCCCTTGCGCCACCACTACCCCCCCTGCCAGCCGCCGCACTACGGCGCTCACTACCCGGGCTCCCCCCCCGGGGACCCGCAGGAGCGAGGGAGCCACCTCGTCGGTGAGGCCTTCCTCAGCGAGGGCGCGGCGCACGCGTGTGTTGTCGTCGTGTTTGTGTGTGGTCGTCGTGTTTGTGTGTGTTGTGTGTGTTGCATTCCGTGCATGGTATGAAGCATGCAGAGGCCGATAACGAGGGCAGCGCTGTGACTCGTGGTGGTGGTGTTGCGTGTTGTGTTTTTTGTTGTTCTGTTGTGGTGTACGGGGAGCGGTGGTGTTGCGGTTAGCGTGCTGCACTACGAACCCGGCGACCCGAGTTCGATTCCCGCTCACGGCCAACACCAGTGACGAATATCTGAATCGGTCCTGGGCCTCCCCTATTTAGACTCAGCCTCAAATGAGTACCTGGTGTGGTGTGTAAAATCATCACCACTGGGGAGACAAAGGCGGTCGGGCGTGGTGCTGGCCATCCACCCCCTTGTGTACCGTGCCGGCCTTCATAGGTGCGTCCAGAGAACAGCACTTGCCCCAACAGTCTGTTAAGGCTATACGGGGATACGGGGGATCTTTGTGTTGTGGTGTTTGCGTGGTACATGAGGGTGGCACCTTAAGATGGAAAATCTGCAAGAGGCTTTATGTTGTCTTCCCTTATTTCCCGTAATGCGTATAGAGGTCACTTTGAGCAATCGACCATTCCATTTCACAGAGGTGTGTTTCGGCCAACTGTAGGTATTAATTTTACTTTAATTACGGTGTCGCTAAACCATTCGCAAAATGCATCGGTGCCCGAGTACACAAAACGATCTTAAGATTTCTCGTGAGTCCAGAAGGCTGCTTGTTGTAGCGCGATCACGAACGTGCCGTAGTAGAAAACGGATCGTGAGTCAAAGTGAAGAGGGGTCAAAGCGAGATTGTGGCTCTCACGCGCATGAGAGCTGTTGCTCGGTGACACGTCATCATCGCTCCCGCTGCCAGTAAGAGACAAACATGGCCGGCATGACATCATCAGCCAGTTGGTGGCCGAGGTTGATGTTGTTAATGTTGTTTATGTTGATGATGGTGTTGTTACTTGTGGTGACTGCTAGAGGCCCTCACCACTCATACGTTTCTCGTGGCTTCACGGACGCTTCATATAGTGTCCTTATTTGCTTGGAATCGGTACAATATAAATGTACCTTACAGTGCTGCGGAGGTGAATAGAGTCTTGTAAATACCGTTTTACGTAAAAACCTCGGTGAAAGCGTCGGACAAATTGTTTTCAAATATCCCTAGGAAATTCATCTTCTTGGTTCTTTCGGAAAGTTAATTGAGATTCGTGAATCCACAACAAACAGGTTTTTTTCTTTGCCTTCAAAATTCCCCCACGTTGTAAATTGTGTTTTTGGGCGGCACGGTGGCGCAGTGGTAACACATGTCGTGCCTCGCAGCAGGAAAGAGCCTGGGTTCGATGCCCGACTCGGGCGTCTTTCCGTGTGCAGTTTGTTTTCTCAAACTGCACACCTTAAATCAGCTACAAACACCACACCACGTGACCTGGTGTAGGCCCAAACATTATCAATGCTGAAACATGAATCAATTGGGATTGCAAACGTGGCAGGAAAAAAAAAAGTAACGAGGCTCAGCGAGGCTTTTCCTGAGCCAACGAGCGGAATAACAGCAACGATATTAGCCAGCGCCCGGGAAGCCACCGATAATTCTAAGTGAGTTTGCATCGTTTGAGTCCGACGCAGCGGGGGGGGGGGGGGGGGGGGGGCTGACCAATCCGAGTCCTGCTGCTCTCCTGACGTACGCCCGTCGCCCCCACCCCTCCCGCGCGTGGCCCCCCTCGGCGCGAGCAGAGATCGTGGGAGTGGACGTGGAGGAGCTGCGGAGCGGGGGGCTGCCCCCCCTCCCGCCGGCCGGGGAGGGCTCGTCGAGCGGAGAGTACGAGGAGCCTCGGCCCGTTGTGCCCACGGCGCACGTGCGGCCCACGCAGCCCCTGCGCAGCTTCGCGGTGCCCCTCGTGTCGGCCCACGGGGCGCTGCGCCCCTCCGACAGCCCCCTCCTGTCCCACCACGCAGGTGGACACAGCCCTCTCCTGTCGCACCACACAGGTGAGACACCGCCCCCCACCCCTGTCCCACCACGCAGGTGAGACACAGCCCTCTCCTGTCCCACCACACAGGTGGACACAGCCCTCTCCTGTCCCACCACACAGGTGAGACACGACCCCCACTCCTGTCCCTCCACACAGATGAGACACAGCCCTCTCCTGTCCCACCACACAGGTGGACACAGCCCTCTCCTGTCCCACCACACAGGTGGACACAGCCCTCTCCTGTCCCACCACACAGGTGCGACACGGCCCCTACTCCTGTCCCACCACGCCGGTGCGACACGGCCCGCTCCCGTCACCTGCTGGGAGCTATTCACTGAGTCGACGTAGTTCTCTGCCCGCTGTGAAGATCTCAGACTCGTCGCTGGTGGTGTCACTCGGTCGGGTCCTGTGCCTGAACCAGGCCCTCTGCCACTGCCAGTCTCTGTCAGAGCGGTCTCGCTCCAGTAACGCAACTCATTTCTGAAAATTAAGAAACAAATTAAATGCTGTGCGAGCTGAAATTGTTGTCGTAACGTTCTGACACGCCCCCACTGAACATCCGTGAAAAAGAGCTTTATAGCTCATCGGATTCCTCCAGTATAAGGGACCTCCTCTTGCACATTGTCAGTGGAGTTCCACGGTAAATGTCATTTTGTATAACCGTATTTATAATCTCTACGCATCCCAAGGGTGTTGCATTGAGCCGCGATCGATCCGCGTGCGGAGAGCGCTCCGCTCTGAGCCCCGAACGCCGAGAGCCGTGAGCAGCGACGCGTTCCCCGTCGTTGCAGGGAGCGGCTCGCCAAAGGTGGCGACGCTTGGAACCCTGGGACGGCTGCGCGTGCCGCTGCCCGTGATCCTGCCCAGCGCCCCGGACTCGTCGGCCCACGACTCGCAGACCTTCGAGGACTCGGACAGCGTGAGTTCCCGCTCGCTGCCGCGTCGTTTTCGCCGCTTTCATTTTTTTTTTGCTCTTGCGGCCGCCCCCTGCTTCACCGCCGCTTCGCTTCGCCGCTTTTGTCGTCCGCTTCGCGACGCGAGCCGCTCGTCCCGCTCGTCCCGTACGGCCGTGGCGACGGCCGCGTTGTTGGCACCGCCGTCGAGTGGCGTTCGTTTGCCCCGCCCGGCGTGCGCGTCACGGGCGGTTCCGCGTGCGCGTTTCGTTTCATCATACACTGCCGCTGACCCCCAGCGCTGACCCTGAGCAGATGACCCCCGTGTAAACCACTCGTGCGTCTGGAGAACTCCATCACGGGTGTGGGGGTTGGGGGCGAGTGGGAGGGATACATCTGTCGTCGTGGCAACACGCCTGATCGTACAGATCGTGGGGCGCTACGGTGGCAAAATGTTAACTACCTAGCTTGGTATACAGGAGTGCATGGGTTCGCTCCCAACCCTAATGCCTGCTGTATATTTGGAGTTTGCATGCCTGTCTCCCTGTGGTCGCGTGGGTTTTTCTCCGGGTCCTCCGGTTTTTCCCTCCACATTTAGAATCGACGTGCGTTTAGATCAATTGGCTGCTATAAATGTCCACACGACAAGCCACTTCGTTGAGCTTTCACTTGTGGCCCGCGTCGCTTTTGAAAAAGCGGACATCACCTGGTGAAATAAAATAAATGCGATTGTGACATCCTCCAAGGGCGGTTAAACCCTGTGGTCGTACGGCAGCGACGGCGAGGCTTTTTCCGTGCCGTTGCTCGCTCCGGATCGTGAACTCTCGCAGGGTCCCAGTTTGCGTTCAAGCAAACTTTCGTAGGGGATGTTTTCTGCGAACGACCGCTCGCGGCGTGGCGAGAGTATTCGGAGCTGAGCCGCGGTGAACATTGCCCTGGAGAGAGGTGTGGGAGGGGGAGAGTCCGTGGGTCGGTGCTGCTTTGCGCCCTGAGCATTTGCAGGCTGAGCTGGAAGTGGCCACCCGTTCGCATGCGGCTCAGAATCTCAATCTTTATTTATACTGCAGGAGGAATCCGATGGGCTAAAAAGATATTTTTTTCACAGATGTCCAGTAGGGGCGGGTCAGAAAGTTACAACAACAAACTGTACGAAAATACGATAGGAGTGAAAAGTATAGGAAAGATAAGGAAATCACTAAATATATCTATGTTTATTTTACCAAATAAAGCCCCACTGAGCAATTAGCTTCTATTTCAGAAGCAACTTGGCCACAAATGATAGCGCAACGAAGTGGCTTGTCATGTGTGGAAATTTATAGTAGCCAAATAATCTGACCACAGCTAACAAGTGGACATTACAGTTGGGAGTTTAACACTTTGGCTTTCGCGACAAATATCATCCATAATATAGGTTCATCTTTTGGGTTAGATCGTGTAAATATGGGACTATAAAAGCGTAGTCCGTTGGTGGATAAAGGTCTCCCCATGCCATGTCAGTGACATGGGCTGCTCGACCATGCTTCCCACGCTGGTCAGTGAAAATTGGTCAAGTGCCAGGGCTGGGTCATGGCCCGTTCAGATATCAGCACTGCAGCTAGCCACGACTAGGAATCAAGCTCGGCTCACGGGGGGGGTCCATTGCGCAGTGCGCTAACCGCGGCACCACAACTCCGTACCTGGGAATGGTTTACACAGTAGTAGTGAATGATTGCAAAGAAATAAAATTTTCATCAGGTAAAAAACAAATCTCCCCGCTTTGCCGTCCGACTCTTGCAAGGTTTGGTAATGCGTCAGCACGCAGTCGTTTTTTGTCGTTGAACTGAATCTTTTTATGCTGCTTTGCGCACTGCTTGTTGTGGACTGAGCTGCCCCCATCATCTCCCCCGCTGCTCCTCATCCTCCTCCTCCTGCTGCTTCTGCTGCTTCACACGCCCGTGCACGCTTCGCTCCTGCTGCTGGTGCTCTCTCCTGCTTCTGCACCCTCCGCTCCTGCTTCTGGCGCTCGCTCCTGCGCCATGTGATCTCGAGCTTCGTTCCCCCCACCCCCACACTTTCCGTTTGGCATTGCTAATAATCAAAGTTTCTTGTGGTAACAACACTGTTACAATCCACGAACCTGTGCAGTGGAGGCTGCATGTTCTAACCATGTTCTCTCGTCTCTCTCTCTCTTTTCACATTGTTTACCTATTTTATTTTTGTCTGATCCTACATTTATTTAACGTCCTTTTTTCCATGCCCCCTTTTGTCTGTCTCACTCTCTTCCCCGTGATTCTGTCTCTCGCTGTTGCTGCCAATGACGATAGCCGGCTTGGTGAGTCACATTGTTCGAACCAGTCGCCCGTTACTCCCGACGGCAGCGAATCGGCATTGCCATGAGACCCGTAAACCGCCTCACGCTGTGGCTTTGGTGGCGATCCTCCTTCCTTGCAGACCTACGGGCACGACGACGACGACGACGAAGACGACCTCAGCGCTGAGATGGCGAACCTTGAGGGCCTCATGAAAGACCTCAACGCCATAACCTCCGCGGGAATCTGACCCATTTCTTTACAAATGGATCTCTGGGCGAGCGAACGAGAGTCGCGTTAATAGTTCGCGTTGCACGTCGTTCCGGCGGTGTTTTTCATAGCTCTGGGAACCGTAAAGCAAGCCGCCGCTCTCCAGGAGATCTTGAAAACTCGGGAAATCGCGTCGCTCCGCAAGATGTTCACGACGCCGACAAGCGTGCGTGTAGCGCGCGACGGAGCAGCGTCTTCAGAGAGCAGCAGCGTCTTCAGAGAGATCCTTCGAGAGACGCCTTCCGTCCCTGCTGGGTGGGGGGCACGCGGGCGATCGGCCACGGAGGAGGAAGTCGAGCTGCGGCGGCAGAGCGCCGACGGAGGAGGGAGCCGAGCGGGGCCCTGGGACCACGCCGATCTCCTGCCCCTGGGGCAGGCCGATCTCCTGCCCCTGGGGCAGGCCGATCTCCTGCCCCTGGGGCCACGCCGATCTCCTGCCCCTGGGGCCACGCCGATCTCCTGCCCCTGGTGGCAGGAGATCTCCTGCCCCTGGGGCAGGAGATCTCCTGCCCCGGCTGCCCCCGGGGAGGCAAGCCCGGGCGACGACAAATGGGGAATAATGCCGTGAACTTTCTTTATACGTCGGAGGACATTTTATAAATAGGTGTTTTGCTTCCTACTCAAGCCCCGTTTATACTTGTACTTTTATTTTTAAAGCTTGTAGATAGCAGTTGTTGTTGTTGTTGTTGTTTTTATAAATTGTTAAATGTACATAATTATTCAGTGGGTGTTGTTGTTCAACGAGTGCTTTGCTACGTTGCATAAAGGCTAACGGTTGGGATTTGCCAGCAGCTTTGGGTGTTACCGCCTCCGACGTTGTCGCGCCGCTACCGCCGCGCGCACCGCCGGTGCATGTACAAAGCCGTACCGTGAGGTCCGCCGTGATCGTGTTCCCAATATCGACGTGCGTGTTGTTGTGTTTTTTTATACGCAGTGAAACGGATTTTTCATATGAAATATTTCGTTTTTTTTGTTATCATTTTGTTTGTAAGTTATACTATGTATAGAATTAGTCTTTACGTAAGTGTTTTAAAATAACTTGTATAAACATGTTTTTTTTTTGTTAAAGGATTTAAAACAACAAAAATTTGGAAAAATCAAATATGCGGTTAAAGGGAGTAACCACGGGGTGGATTCAATCAAAACAATATTTGGAAAAATCAAATATGCGGTTAAAGGGAGTGACCACGGGGTGGATTCAATCAAAAATATTTGGAAAAATCAAATATGCGGTTAAAGGGAGTGACCACGGGGTGGATTCAATCAAAAATATTTGGAAAAATCAAATATGCGGTTAAAGAGAGTGACCACGGGGTGGATTCAATCAAAACAATATTTGGAAAAATCAAATTTGCGGTTAAAGGGAGTGACCACGGGGTGGATTCAATCAAAACAATATTTGGAAAAATCAAATTTGCGGTTAAAGAGAGTGACCACGGGGTGGATTCAATCAAAACAATATTTGGAAAAATCAAATTTGCGCTTAAAGGGAGTGACCACGGGGTGGATTCAATCAAAACAATATTTGGAAAAATCAAATTTGCGCTTAAAGGGAGTGACCACGGGGTGGATTCAATCAAAACAATATTTGGAAAAATCAAATTTGCGGTTAAAGGGAGTGACCACGGGGTGGATTCAATCAAAAATATTTGGAAAAATCAAATATGCGGTTAAAGGGAGTGACCACGGGGTGGATTCAATCAAAAATATTTGGAAAAATCAAATATGCGGTTAAAGAGAGTGACCACGGGGTGGATTCAATCAAAACAATATTTGGAAAAATCAAATTTGCGCTTAAAGGGAGTGACCACGGGGTGGATTCAATCAAAACAATATTTGGAAAAATCTAATTTGCGCTTAAAGGGAGTGACCATGGGGTGGATTCAATCAAAACAATATTTGGAAAAATCAAATTTGCGCTTAAAGGGAGTGACCACGGGGTGGATTCAATCAAAACAATATTTGGAAAAATCAAATTTGCGGTTAAAGGGAGTGACCACGGGGTGGATTCAATCAAAACAATATTTGGAAAAATCAAATTTGCGCTTAAAGAGAGTGACCACGGGGTGGATTCAATCAAAACAATATTTGGAAAAATCAAATTTGCGGTTAAAGGGAGTGACCACGGGGTGGATTCAATCAAAACAATATTTGGAAAAATCAAATTTGCGCTTAAAGGGAGTGACCACGGGGTGGATTCAATCAAAACAATATTTGGAAAAATCAAATTTGCGCTTAAAGGGAGTGACCACGGGGTGGATTCAATCAAAACAATATTTGGAAAAATCAAATTTGCGCTTAAAGAGAGTGACCACGGGGTGGATTCAATCAAAACAATATTTGGAAAAATCTAATTTGCGGTTAAAGGGAGTGACCACGGGGTGGATTCAATCAAAACAATATTGGGAAAAATCAAATTTGCGCTTAAAGGGAGTGACCACGGGGTGGATTCAATCAAAACAATATTTGGAAAAATCAAATTTGCGCTTAAAGGGAGTGACCACGGGGTGGATTCAATCAAAACAATATTTGGAAAAATCAAATTTGCGCTTAAAGGGAGTGACCACGGGGTGGATTCAATCAAAACAATATTTGGAAAAATCAAATTTGCGGTTAAAGGGAGTGACCACGGGGTGGATTCAATCAAAACAATATTTGGAAAAATCAAATTTGCGGTTAAAGGGAGTGACCACGGGGTGGATTCAATCAAAACAATATTTGGAAAAATCTAATTTGCGCTTAAAGTGAGTGACCACGGGGTGGATTCAATCAAAACAATATTTGGAAAAATCAAATATGCGGTTAAAGTGAGTGACCACGGGGTGGATTCAATCAAAACAATATTTGGAAAAATCAAATATGCGGTTAAAGTGAGTGACCACGGGGTGGATTCAATCAAAACAATATTTGGAAAAATCAAATTTGCGGTTAAAGTGAGTGACCACGGGGTGGATTCAATCAAAACAATATTTGGAAAAATCAAATTTGCGGTTAAAGTGAGTGACCGCACCCCGAGCGTGTTGGGTTCGTGCCGCCCTGCCGTGCCGGCCACGCCGGGAGTCATGACCCGCGTGGCCGGTGGCGATCTCCAGGCCACGAGCGCGCGGCATAGACGCAACGCGGAGCGAACCGGGGGCGGGGAGAGGGGGGTTTGTGCTAAATTTATAATTAGTTTTTTTGTTTAAAAGTTGCTTTAAAACAAACGTGTTGTCGTGCAAACCGCCCCCACCACACACCCCCACAAATCGAAATAAAGAATGAATATGCAATTGTCTTTCCGCAAGAGACATGGACGCCGAGGTGTTTTTTTCCCCCCGTGTTGGTAAGATGAACGATGAGCGTCGCGCGGTTGTTTTATCACTTTGCTGGTTTTTTTTTTTTTGCCTCATTCCACTTTTGCTCTTGTGACTGATGAGCCGCCGGGACACACCATGAGGGTGAGCAGGGCCGTATTCAACAGGCACTGTGCCTAGGGCCTCCGAAAACTTAATGGCCTACGAAAAAAGATGTGACCGTGTATTTTCGTTTGTATGATAAAAAAATATAACCAAGATATATTCTTGAATAAATATATTCATATAGCAAGGATGGCAACAGTGTATACACGAAAAGGCAGGGTCATGTCAATCTTTTTTTCTTCATAAGGTGAGAGAAATTAACATCGGAGAGGAACTTTTCGAGATTGTTTTCATTGCAAAATTAGCAAGGACATCTTCAAAACGGTGTTTTTTGCACATTCTCATTCTCAATAGAGAGTCGTGCGAGTAAAGACAAAGGCGACATCGTCCGATGGTTGATCGGGGACAGTTTTAGCTTCGAAAAAGAACGCTCCCCTTCACAGTTAATTCCCAATATGGCAAGCTACATACAGCAATGTAAACATTCGGAAATATGCTGATCATCTTGTCAGATATTTGGGCTTTGACCATATCTATATAAGGTAAACTGGGGAATATGGCAACTCATTTTTAGATGCAATAATTTTGACAAAAGTTTGTATTTTAGAAATGTTTTAAATTATTTTTTGCCACAATTTGTTGGCTGCTCGTTGCAATTTCATTGCAGTGGTAACAAGTCATTGACTCGTTGGAAGTGAGGCATATTTACACCTAAAATAAGAGTCAAATCTTTAACGAAAGCCAAGCAATATGACGCTCGCCATGCGGTAGTCCCGTCAGAACATTTAATTTGTTATCGATGAAAATGAACGGCGTCCTTATAAAGCTGCTGCGTCATCTGATATGATAATCATAGTAAAAAAAAGAGTTGAAGAAATTTACGCTTGTAATATTTTTTGGCTTGCCTTGTTTTTTTAAAAATAATTTCAAATTAAATATGCTTATCTGCAGCACCACAGCGTGCTCCCATCGAATTAGGGTACAGACCAAATAATGGACCTATCAGTCGCGACATCTTTCCAGCGGCTGGACGAAGCCCGCATTAAATGAGCGGAGTGACAGCGGCGGTAGTAGTGACGTGGGGCAGCAGCGGTAACAATTTGTAGAAAATTATCACCGACTGCCTCCGAAACAGAAGTGCCGAGGGATTACAAAACCTTAATCCGGCCCTGGGGGTGAAGGCGTTAATGAATCGTACACACGACGCAAATTACAAGCGGCATAGACGGCAGCCGCTTCTATGCCGGGGGAAAAGAAAGCATTTTAAAACGACATACATTGTGGCCATATGAACATGAAAAAGGGCAGAGGCTGAAACTGCACGGAGGAGTTTGCATCCAAGAGATTTCCCGACAACGGGAGCAGAAGCCGAGAAGGAGCGACCTCCCATAGCCGGACCTTCAGCAATCCGCACCGAGGGCTCCCCCCATTCAGTCCAGCCAGCTGAGGTTTTACTGCGTCTTCTATTTCGCATTAATAGGAACCTATCCACCTTTAGCCATTTCAGCCTCTGGTGGACTGCATTCCAAAGGGATTGCCCTCAAATCAATCGCTTACCGCCAACCATCACCAATCCCCAAACATCAACGAACACCGTTCAACTACAAGAGAACTCCATGCACGGCGGGATTGATGTTCTTGTTGGCCCAAGTCACTCGTGTTTCGTTGGCCTTCAGTGATCACTCTCTACGATTGCTGTTACTACTGCCCCATGTTGCTACTACCGCCGCTGTCACTCCGCTTGTTTCACGCGTAGCACAACAACGCCTTTGTCTTCGACTTGCTCTACTCTCTGTTGAGATATGAGGTTGTCCGATAAACACAACTTGAAGATTTTATTTGCTAATTTTGCAATGTAAAAATCTCGAAAAGTTCATCTCCTCTGTTCATTTCTCTCACCTTAGGACAAAAAATCCGATTGACATTACTCTGCCTTTTTGTATACACACACTCCACCTATCCTTGCTAGATAAAACATTTATTCAAGAAAATATATTTGTAAAAAATGTGTGATCATACATACAAACATTCTTTTCGTAGGCCCTAGGCAGAGTGCCCGTTGGATTA